CATTTTGAAAGTAAAACACCTCATTGGTTGGAGCTAATATTTTATAACGGTTTTGTCGTCTGTATGCCATGAACCATTATATTCTTGCTCTTTTGGTTTATTTGGTTAACTATATAACAATTATTGGTAAGTAATTGTATACCTAAATCGACTCAAAGCAATACAGATTGAAATGAACACTATTTTGAATGTGTTCGATTTACTTGTAGATTGCAAAGCTTTCTTCACTAAAATTCCTCCAAGCAAACTGCATGTATTAAAGGGAGAAACAGTTAAGCTTGTCTGGGATTACCATGTTGATGACATGGAGAGAGAGTTTAATTTACTTTCGCCACGATGGTATTACCGTTATAACAAAGATACCATCCAACGTGAAATAATTGGTTTTAACAATAGGTTTATTGGATGGAAATTTCAAATATCTAATATTACCTGCCCACCTCGGTTGATAAAGCCTATAATTCGAGTAAGCAGACAGTCAAATGCCACTATATTCATCACAAATGTAACAGTGGTTGACAGTGGGATCTATGGATGTACTTTGGCATTAAAATATGGAGCTGATATCACAAACGAAGTGCATCTAATTGTTGCAGGTAAATAATGTTTGATAGGGCTCATCACAAAAAGACCATTAAAGATGCTTATAATGATAGTCTATAGTTTATTTACAGTATATACCGTATACGTATATACAGTATCTGTAACACCGAATCACTAATCACTTATCGCTTTTAAAGCACACAAATCTATTAGAAAAAATTCAAAATAATTTATTATCTATTTAATGCCAAAGCAATCAATATGTCCAATATTTATGAAATAATTAATGAAAGAAAGCCGTTGGAAGCACACATACATAGATGACCTGTTTGTATAACAGCGACTTAAACATTTTTCAGCTATATTTTTTAGGCATATATGTTTTTGCAATTTTCATACAAGCAAAATAGGATACAAAAATATTGCAACTTGATTGACAATGACAACAAATTTTTACTCTCTTTAGTTAATATTCAAATTCCAAAGCATTGTCAGTACGAGCGTTGTGTCACGTGGTATCATTGATACGGAAGGTTAGGTCAAGCAATTTTACCAGCGCAACTCACTGCTCGTAATTAGCATATTATAGAAAAGGTCCACAGGAAGAGCAAGGGAGACCTTCAAGACTTGTTGGTTTCCCTGCCTATCATCTGCAAATTCTCAATCAAGGTTCATAGTAAAGCTGGCAAGTAGGAGAATTAAGATGCTGATTTCTGGAGAGCCTTTCACTTTAGCATCATTTATAATAACCATCTTCTGT